AGGTGATGCTCCTAAAGCCTGGCTCCTCCATATCCTCCTGGCACACAGTCATATAGCTATCTGAACTTCCGCTCCACCACTAGACTTTAAAAAAGAGACTACATGTGATCTGTCACCCCTCTCTCATACAACCCCTAGTATTTTGTACCCAACAGAAAGCATGATACGTATTTCTTCAGAGACCCTTAGTAGTCTCAGTAGAGGATGGGGAACTGCCAGAAACTCAAGGGGAACAAGGGTGGGGCTTTACTAGATTTCGTTGCAAGTTTGGAGCAATTTTTAATTGTTCACGTGTCAACTTTACTGGAAAGGATGAGGCATGCAACCCTCATGTTCCAAGAGGTTGTGAGTTGGGGGAAGGGAGGGAAAAGGGGAACCTAGAAAATCAGCCCCCAGAACCAAGAAATCCTCCCTTCCTCTCCTGCAGCCACAGGGGTAGAGCTAGGGTTTGGGGTCTAATCCAAGCTGAAGGGTAGACGATGAGAAGTGAAGGGTATTACAGCCTGGACTCTCAAGCATCTTGATAAGACAGCATCCTGGCCAGTGTCCAAAGGATGTGTGTATGCACCAAGGGGAGAGGACAAGATGACCCACAGGGGAGAATGTTAGAACTGCTGCCGATGCTCATGAGCAAGAAGCCCACCTTTACTAATACTTATGCAAATTGAGTGTGCTTTCAGCATAGCAGGCCTCCACTAGGCGGTCCTATCTACCATCCAGTTTAAACGAAACTCAAGAAATGAACAAGGGCCCTGGTCGGGTCGCTCGGTTGGTGGGAGCAACATCCCGTAAGCCAAAAGGTGTACAGCAAAAGGTCCCGGGGTTTGATTCCCGGTCAGGGCACATACCTGGGTTTCACATTTGTCCCAGGTCCGGGCATGTATGGGGGTGGGGGAGGGCAGCCAAGTGCTGTTTCTCTATCTCCCACTCAGTATAAAATTAGTAAACGTATCCTTGGGTAAGGATTAAAAAAAATGTATATATAAATGAATAAGGGGCTTAAAGATTCCTGCAAAGAAACAACGTACTACAAATACTAATTATCTCAACCAGGGATAATGGAAGAAAATTGAACATCTCACTTATCTATATACTAGTGTCCCAGTGCACGAATTCGTGCACATTGAAAGGAAATTAATTAGAAGAAATATTTAATATCGCTATTCGCCCTTTCTCTATAATAGAAGTGTCAACCAAATTCACGATCAACAATGACAGATCGAAACACACGTGTGTGATTGGCGCCAGCGAGAGCTTTTATGTATTGCGCATGTGCAAGTCAATTTAGCCTTTTATATAGAGATATAAAAAGCCATGTCTGTGACGACCAGGACGACCAAATGACCGGTCACCATGAGGTGCATTGAGCACCTCTGGGTCCTTGCCCCCCGGCCCGCAGGCTCCGATGGATCAGCAATGGTGAACGGGGGAATCGGGGTGGGTGGCGGGAGGACTGGGCTGGCTGTCAGGCTGTTGGGATCACCAGCTCACCCCCGGCTGCTCGGGGGCTCAGGCCTGCAGGAAAGCAGGCACTGGCGACCTCACCTCCATGTGCGTGCGCTGGGCCAGCCACTGATGGAACGCGCTGCCCGCTCAGGGCGCTCATGCCGGGGTGGGTAGGTTGCAACTTCTATCAGCACCTCAAGCCCCAGCAGCAGCAGTGGTGGCGGTGGCACCTGCGTGAGTGGCCCTGAGTGGGCAGCATGTTCCATCCGTGGCCAGCCCGGCGCACACACATGGAGATGAAGTCGCCAGCGTCCGCTTTCCCACAGGCCTGAGCCCCAGAGCAGCCGGGGATGAGCTGATCCCAATGGCCTGACAGCCCGGCGGCAGAGGTGGCATTCAGCCCGGGGCTGGCGAATGGGCAGAAGATGGCCCTGATCGCAGGGGACTAGGCCAAGGGACCCTACCCGCACGATTTCGTGCACTGAGCCCCTACTTGTTTATAAACCTGTTGTCAAGCACGTTGGAGGGGAAAGTCCTGTCTGCTTGTCAAAAAGTGCATTTCCCCTCATCCACCATTATTCATGACCAAACCCCACACTGCATATGAAGGAAACTTGAGTCAGTAAACTAAGAGTAATTAGTTTTTCTAATAACTGTAATATGTAGTATGGGTTCGTGCTCAGTTTTACTGGTGGGGGACAGTAGGGCTGTTTGACAACTCAGCCCTGCTCACTAGAACCTTCTGCAATGATGGGAATGTCCTCCATTTCCTGGGCCCCTCGTCACAAGCAGCTATTTCATGAAATGTGACTAGTGCAACTGGGAAACAGCCCCCCGTGCTGTATTAGAGAAACTAGAATTTGCATTAGGAACAGAGACTGGGACCTTAGGGGAGCCCCTCAAGCCAAATTGTGTCCACATAAGACTGCCTCCCCCCACTCCCGCCCCCCACCCCCGGCCATACATTGTTTCAGAAAAGCGATTATTCCCAGAAGTCCTGTTGAAGGAACCTGATTTAAGCTGAAATTCCCTTTTTCCTCCTAGGTTAGATTTTGACACTTACCAAGTGGTTTAATAAGAGCGCATTAGCAAGTCTGCATAGATAACACTTTGAAGCCACAAGTTAAGATAAAAGGTTTTTATTCAAAAAACGCCAGGTATAAAAAAAAAAAATAAGATTATCTTTTATTCCCCTGTACAGTATTTCACTCAGATAAAACCAGCAGGCTACGTGCTGCTCAAAACACAGCCCCAGAGAGGATCCGGAAGGCACACTGTCCAGAACTGGTTTCCAGCTATCTACCCTATATACACAAGTCGCAACTCCCCTCCCCACAGAACCCACCCACTTGGATAAGCAGGCGAGAGGGGCCTGCAGCAGTCCCGCCTGAGCCCCATCACCCTAAGAACAGAGCAAGTGTCGTAGCCCTCCCCCAAAAGGTCCCCAAGTTAGAGGAGGAAAAGAAAACTATGGCAGCAGCCGTGGAAGCTTGGAGCTGAAGGGAACCAAATAAATAAATAAATAAATACATAACGTTGACCTCCAGGTTAGAATGCGCATCTTTCAAAAAAACAAAAACAAAAAACAAAAAACAAAAAAAACCCGAAAAACAAAACTAAAAAAGAACAACAGGTAAAATAACTTAAAGGCAAAAAGTTTTTAAAATTAGATCAACTACAATCCTTTTGTACACTATCATGCCAACTGTACACACATTTACAGTTTTTCTGTTGATTTTGCATTGTTTGTGCATTTTGTGTGTGTGAGGTCTTGGCTTTGAAACAGTTAAGTAAAAACCAAAAAGGAAGACCAGAAAAAGGGCAGGTGGCTCAGCGTTTGGCCCTGTAGCCTCTTCCATGGCACCTTTCGTATGAAGGGTGGGGAGAAGGGGGTGGGAGAGAAAAACAGGGAAAACCAAACCCGGGCAGATTTTTGGAGAAGCAGCAGGTAAAAGAGGCAAGTTCAAGTATTTCTCCCAGCACAGCCGGAGTCCCCACAGAAGGCACTCAGAAGAGTCAAGGAAGAGGTGACAGGGACTTAAGAAATGGTGCTAGTCCTATCCCCAACCCGTTTTCCCCTAACCTGACCATCGCGGCATTCAGTGAAGGGAACAGTTCCATGACAGGGTTCTGACCCCCACCCCCTCCCCCACCCCCCCCCACCCCCGGGATTTTGCAGAGTCCAGCAATGCTGGCTGCACACCTATGAGAAGGAGAGAGCATCTACGAGGAACTGAGGCCTAGGACACCCAGAGGAATTTCTTTTCCCCTGTCCGAGGCCCCTCCAGGGGCCTGGGGTCTGGAATGAGTTGTAAATGTTGTTCCGGTATCAAGCAGTCTGTTGCTAAGACAAGAAGGGCACGGGGATAAAAGCTCCCCCCCCCTGGAGCATATGCCAAGGGGCGCAGGACTGCTGTAAGGCTGAATTTGCTGGA